TGAGAATCTTCGTCGTCTGTTTTTTGGAACTAAAAACATAATAACAATATTAACTAAATGATATAACAGCGATATTTTATGCAATACCACATTATTGTTATAACTTCGACCGAACTCCAATTAACTTAATCAGTAGTCGACTTGCCAAGTAAACCTGTTTTGTATGAAGTTTTAATTTTTTGTTTAACATATGTTAAAAGGATTAGATTAAGTATGACAGATGCAAGTGTGTACAATCAGAAATTATATAGATGAAGAAATTTAGCGTAGAAATTTTGTTTTAAATAATTTCTCGCCAACCAAGTTAATCGGAGTTTCATCAAATCGCTCCAAGAGCCACGTAGACAAATAAATGTCTACGTTTCGAATCTCAAATTATTTCGCTCACGTTTTAATCTCCTTTGGTTTTGATTTCGATTTTGATTTGAGTCTTTCTCTCCTTGCCCGCCCGCTGCGACGTGTCTTCATTGCTAAAAACAAATATGTACAGGATGGATATAAAATAACATCTATTGTTAAAATAACTATCTATTGTGATTACAGATTTTTGCAAATATTCCAACCTCCGTAAAAGTCTCACTACTTTGCACGTGTATTCTCATCCCACGACGGACGGCGCCACGACACTCTCTCGTGTGGCGTTGAGTGCGGCCAAAGAATGTGTTGCTTGCGCGTTCCTTTTATGTCGCTTTCAGAGGCAGGGATTATTATACATCAGTATTCGCTTTTTCTCATTTATTACGACTCTGTACTTAATACACACGAAAACAGGTTAGTAGTCGAATAATAACTGAACTGAACTGAAAAAACTAAAAAGTTAGGAAAACTCCATATATAAAATATTCCCTAGACGTCGTCTGCGCTGGGATTGGCTGGAGACGTTATTGGTCCCTACACTCGTAAACACTTCGATTGTAAACGAGGCTGAAGGCTAGTCTAGTGTGAGTGTCGCCAGCAACAGACGGTGGCGAGTCCGATAACAGAGAGAAGCATGAGAGCGGCCATCCCGGCGTTTTTCGCGACCCCGGCAAAAGTTTTGACCTCCTCCCGTACACTAGCGCCAATTGCTTCCACCTTTGAGATGGAACTACTATCACCGCCATTTTCTGATACTGCCGATAAAAATCATAGGCAAAGAGAATGGAAGTGG